TTAAAGAGCGGACAGTGCACAGCCGCAAAATAATTACGCGCGCGCATAAAAAACGTAATGTAGTGGCGCTCGCACACTTGTCTCGCAATTAGAGTGATTAGGAGTGTTTTATGGGAGGTCGCGCGCGAGTATTAGCCACTGAACCGTCCGCGCGGGGCATTCTTCGCTCGTGACGCTCGCGCCCGATCCATCGACAGAGAAAAGCAATTAGACTGCGGATGAGCAATCGGCTCGGTCGTATAGACACGCGCACAGCTGATGCGCCTCGTGTGGGAAGCAGCAGTGGGTGCAACGCACTCGCCGCACTTCCGCACGTCGCAAATTTAAAATTAGATTGGAGGAGCGCGCGCGCGCGCGTATAGCCGTTCGACAAAAAGAGTACGTGACCGAACGACAACCATCGATCGCACATGCGTGTACGTACTCAAGTGCTCGTGCGTCGCGCGGAACCCATCGCGTGGCGCCGTTTTTGCCAGGCGCTCTCATGGCAGAATTCTTTCGCGCGACCTCAAGTCTTTTAACGGATACGTCATCGCAAGTTGGCCAATCTACCAACAAGAAAATTCACTTTCTTCCGCGCGCGACAAAGTCCGCCGAGGGCACAGCGAAAGGCAATTTACTGCACAATATAACTTCGAACTCGGTGTAAGAAAATCCTTCGCGCGTACGAAATAACGAAAGCGAGTTTCTCGGGCGCGTCGGAATAAATGAAGCGCGAGCCGGGAATCACTTATGCGCGTATTCGATCTCGCGGAATTCCACCGTACACAACGTTCTCCGCGCGATGTACAATCGAGGATGCTAATCGCGCGACGCGCCGCGGATGAAAGTGCGAGCATCGACGTAATTACTGCAATGAGCGAGGAGGAGATTGCAATATTAACGAAGGGCGCGTGACGAATGTGCGCGAGCAGACCGATTCGATTAACCCAGAAATTTTTAGCCTTCCCCGTACGTAGTAGCCGTACAATCTCGCGCGTGAATCTATTACATCTGCGCGCAGTGTGAGTATCCACGTGTCGTTGCGTATCGTTAAAAAACACATTAGCGATGTGGCAAGAAACGCCGCGAATGTTTAGCCAATAAAACGCCTGTTATTTTTTCTGCTCTCGCTCGGTCGCGCGATTCGATAAATTGGATATCGGGAGGCTCGGCCGATATCCCGCCCTGGAATCACGCGTTTTGCCGGCTATCGCCTTATCAAACGAGCCTTGACGATGTGTTATTCGCTAAGCAAATGCGAGCTGCATTTTACGCAACATATCCGTTTATAAATTGAAAGCTATCGGAAACTCATGTATGTGAAACATTTATCACAATTGAAAGATTTCGCTTACCACGCCCTTCCAAAAGTCTCCCAAGTTCAAAATTGACTTAATCCTTGACATAACGATAACAATACATCTTGAGTAGGTCTACTCCTTATGACTAATATTTTTGTTTATGTAACTCGTTGAGTGCGTAATGACTTTTATAAATTTACAAGTAGGGGATGACTTCATATTATTTATTCATACACTTCTGCAATTGCACACATCTGCACTCCTTTTTCTCGGCATAAAAAAAAGTAATCAGACGAATCCAAGTGAGAAATTATCAATCAAATATAGGTTACTAATTGATGTGTAGCTATGTGTGGTCGGTTGAAAATTATCGTTGTCGAACTGTTGTAGTCAAATTTAATAAAAGCTTTGATAGGCGACTACTTTTATTTTATATTGACGAAAGAATAAACGATGACATTCAATGCTAAATGGTTATGAATCGCATAATTATTGAGCAAACAACTGTAGTTCTTGTTTTCGGAATTGATTTTGTAGTATTTATTTGCAGAAAGGTTAATGAATTTTTTTTCTCTGTCTGTATACAATCAATCTGCAAAGTGTTTTTCAATTTTCATGAAACTTACAATTTATAGTCTTTGTTTGGAACGAGTTTAGAAAAACTCGATATTGCAATTTTATGTACGCCACTTTTTTATTAGATTGCAAAAAATGTTAATTTCCAGTTCAATGAATATCGACAAGCGCTAAATACTCGTAAAATCGACTGAAAACTTTATTTATTATCTACCTTGACTTAATTATTATTTATTGGATAAAATAAAAGAAAAAATTATTCTCCATTGGAATGTAATCGAGCTCGGTTATTTTTTAATTTAGGCAATCGAAGCATTCCAACGGTTTAAAACGAGGTTCGAATTTTCCAAAACAAAAAAAAAAAGAAAAAGAAATGTCATGAATTGCTCTATATTCCGATAAATTCGCACGTGAATAATTCCAATTGAAGGCAACCAATCGATAAAATAAACAACGAAAAAAAAAAAATAAAAAAAACGAAGTAGACGACGAACGAAACGAGAAATGACTTTGTGAGGCGGGTTTGAAATTGCAATCGCACGCGCGGCAAAGGTTTATTAACGTACGGCGCCCACGAGGGAAAATTGGCTGCCTCACTGGCGGCGGCCAATGTCATTGTCATGTTCGCCGGTGTCGGAGGAAACGAGTTGGCGAGCACCGCGGACTCATCGTCGTTATAGCTATTATGCTTCGCCGCGACACAGACAGCGAGGAAAATTTTTCCTGCTCGCGGCTCCATTTAACGTCATCAGCATTTTGACGATGCCATTTGCGTTAGCTTAATATTTTACTTAACTCGTGACACGCGCACGGATATACTCGCGCGAGCAATTTGTTTGCTAGGACAATATTTCAACAGTTGAGAATGTTTGATTATCTATGTTTTCACAAATTTATTAATGCCGAGCGATGAGGAGAAACGCTGCAGACGAGATTTTTTCTGCTGTACGAGTACACTCGTTATTGCGACCACGCGATTCTCAAGTGAAATTTGGATTTTAACCTTTCAAAATTGAATTTTGCTCGATGACTTATTATATTTTTTAGCTGATCCTCATCCCACGCCTTGAGTTCAACGGTAAAAATTGTATGATGATAAAATAAGAAGCATAGCGTAAGACCATTCTCTGAAACGTACCTCAAGGTCTATGCAAGATCTGCATATTTAACAAATGTCAAAATATTAATTTTTGAAACTGGAGTTTCGATTTTTTTCTCATAACTTGCTACCGAATTTTCCTGCAACATTGTGTCGGAATTTTTGTAATACGCCGTCATTTATATCGATAAAAGATTTCAGTATGATTTTCGTAATTAGTAATGTTTGAGTTTTTGAAAAACAAACGTTAATTACTTTGAAGCTGTTTGGCTCAACAACCCATCAATTGTATACTTAAAATTGATTTTTTCACCTATACTACTGAACAACTATTAGGATAAATGCAAAGAAAATTATATTATTTCATTAACTTTAGTTGCGATAATAATGTTCAAATGATTGACAAGCTTATCAACATAAAAATAAAAACATTCTTTCCGTATGCCGTTACAAAAGAATTATTTTTTCAGATGTTATCGCAATTATATAGAAAATGCAGATCTAGCTTCAAAGCCACTTCTCGTAATCATATTTATTTATAAATGTCATAAATTGATATTCAGAGGGTTGGGAATACAACGCTGATCATTAACTGTATGACTCAGTTCTTTATATTTTTGCCGCCGTACGATGAGCGCACGCTTAAAATGCATCATAGACGGCATCGACGCAAACAAAAAAGTACAATACATTAAATAAAACAATACTTTCAATTCAAATAGCTGTCCCATGTATAGAGCGCGCGGACAACAAAGAAACAAAAATAAATTAGCATAAATATTTGGTCGATCGGTTCGTCGAACCACCAGGCGCGACGACAAATCGAGTCCTACGCGCGCGTAGTGTCATAATATTTGGGGATCCCGCTTTTGCACAATCGTCATCGTGAGTGACGCCTTTTGTGACGTGCGAGCCCGCGTCTTTATTCATTCCACGAAAGCGCTACTCCCTCACGACTACCTCCGAAAGGCAAATGAGACACATGGCGGCGAAACTTTTTAACGTGCATTGGAGATCCGGTCTCTTGCACGTATACGCAGCTCTCTCTCTCTCTCTCTCTCTCTCTCTCTCTCTCTCTCTCTCTCTCTCTCTCTCTCTCTCTCTCTCTCTCTCTCTCTCTCTCTCTCTATCGGAATTTCAGTCACGGATATGCCAACTGCATATCGCGTGAAATGGAAATCAAGAGCCGCTTTTTCGTACGGCGACCTATGGCCGGGTGCGGGAATTGTGATGAAATTTAACGAATTGCAATAAAACTGTGTACATATTACTTTCGATCGATAACTTGTCTTCAAATGAACTTCCGAGTTTATTTGATTTTTCTTCATTTCCGAATCGAAGCCTTTTACTTTGCAATCTCATCAGACATGCAATAATTCATAGTAAAAAAAAAAAAAAACTTTATTGCCATATATGTAAAATTTAGACAATAAAGCCGTCGCTATAAATTCTCAGCTGGAATCGTGCGATACTGCAAACTTTACGACATCTACGCGAGCCGTCAAACGCATCCTCTTGGATTTTTTCAACAAAACATCTTGCGTCTCCACACATTAAAACTCGGTTCAACTTAACAACCCCATACGTTGCATACGATATATCGTAGTGTCATTGAACATGCACGCACCTTTGTCTTGAGACTGCTTTGCATCTCATGGTGGGTTTAGGACGCGTCCGGTGCACACACAATATCCTCGCAAGCTTCCTTCCATGGCAAGTACGACGGAGCCGAGCGACTGGAATACTTATTGGAAATTATCGCCAGGGTTTATGACTGATAAGACAATGATGTTTTAATTAATTAGACCGAGTCGATGAACGATGTAAGTACTGCAGTGTGTGGTGAATTTTTTAATTGAAATAGATGATTAGAGATTCTATACTTGTAGGTGAATTTTCATGCTGAACAAAAAGCAGTCTACAAGTACTAAATAATGATCAGAATGAATTTATCTTTTTAAACAATTCAATACAAATTTCAATTGAGGATTTATTTTTATATAACGGAGAAGGGTTTTCAAGAACAAACAATGGAATTGTCAAAATTCGGAAAATTTACTTTATTAATACAAATTACAATCAATTATTTTCTCATTTGAGTATTCTAAAATAACATCTTGGCCATTAAATAATGTTTTAGCTTCTATAACTTTACCCAAATTAGTATCCATCTGATCTTCTACAATGTTTCCAGTTGAATAGTCGAACAATCTCAATTTTATCGCATTTGTATTATTATTATTGTTTGGTACCTTCAACAAGTCAGCAATTGTATCAATGACTTTACCAATACTCCAGTATGTGGAAACAAAAACTCCTTTAGAACTCTCAGAACTTTTGGTTGAGCCATTAATAGGATAATACACCAAAAAGTAGCATCGTTCATCAGCCGGAATACCATTATTTCCACAGGACTTGCTTTTGAGCCTCATAAGTCGTACCTGAAACAGTTTTGTTTAATAATCATTAGAGTCAATAGCGTTTCAAATCATTCAAATATTTGCAAACAAAATACCTTATTTGCCATAGCAGAATTTTGTGATTTTTTCAAATTTTTAGCAATTTCTTTATCAGCAACAGTTTTGGCATTTACAAATTCCTGTTTTGGCTTTTCCCATTTCTTAAGTTCACTTAATTTTTGCTCAGTGCTCAATTCTAAGCAACCATGATGACGATGTATCAAACAAAAATGTTTCTTACATTTGACGCATGGCATTTCTACAGGTGACTTTTCTGAACATTCATCTTTAGTACAAACAAAGTGAGTCAATTTCTCTGTACCATCAGCTTCATTGTCAATAACTTTGCAACATTTGTGGCATGTAACATGAAAATGATTTTTACAAAAGATATCACCGCAATAATTACAAGTAAAAGGTAAAAAATCTAATTGTTTGCAATCATCAATTGTGCACTGTTGGCCAGTTTTAGGAAACTCCATTATGGTAAATATAGACTGAAATCTTTTCAATATAATAGAAGCTATTATTAATTATGGGATGAGGTTGGAGAATGCAAATGATTTTCACTGAGAGTTCCAAGAGCTAAGTTATTCCACTTTTGTTCTAATTCCTTCAAAGTCATGTGAGAATCACCGTTGTCACTTTCAGGATCAGGCAATTCACTAACAGGTACCAAAATCTCATCAACTGGCAATGTGTCTTTTCTCCATTCATCATCAATCAGATCAACTAATCTACCATCTGCAACAACATGACTATCCATTATTCTAGTAGGTTATATTAAATCGTATCTTGTAATTAGTATTAGTATCTAAACAGTTCTAATCTGGCTTAAAATTCGAATCTTTATGATGTACTCTTGATATCACACGAAATTGTAGAACAGCTGTATAGAAAACAATTTCGATGATTCATATATATATATACATATAACCTACACACCAGTTAAAGATAAGTCACGATTGTCACGAAGTTTCAAGCTTCTCCAATAAATGATCTCAGCGAAAAATTGTTTTTTTCTTTTACTTTGAACTTTCTCTGAGTATAAATTAATTATAATTTATCATTTCCTTATGAAAATTATCACTATAAATACCCTATATATACTTAACGAATTACGGCTGATTCCGGTTCCAGAGTAGTTGCTTCTTTTCGTGTGCGCTTGCGCACTTTCGAGCGAAGCGAATGAAGCGGGAAAGTAAAATTTCGCGACTACAATGAATGAATGCGTGACTTATATACAACTTTGTGTACTGTGGATGGCATGAGAAAATGCAGAAACAATAAAATTTACTTTATAAAATGCCTAACATAAAAATAAATTTTTATTTCATCATTTAAGTTGAAGCAAAAAAGAAACTATAAAATAATTATTATTTATGAATTTTGTAATTGCTGGTAATTCACGTAAACTAGAATAATTATGCACAATAGCAACAATTAATAAGAATTCTAAGCAATATTTGTAATTTGCTAAAATCAGTGACGAAAGAGTTTTCACAATACACAAATGTTTTTATTACATCACTTGATAAACCTTCCGCATGGTTTCAATATGCGTCTTGTATTTGAATGAAAAAATTAATAATTAAAAGGTTATATACAGCAATTTCTTCATTAATTGTCCAATCGTCGTATAATGAATAGCCACTTTAGCTATAAGCTATCCGAGAAAACTGGATTTGTCGCTCGATCGAAACTGACATCACAAATGAGCAAAAAAAGAAAGAGAAAACTACATCGCGCGACAAAAACTAACACGACTCGCTCCTCTCTCGTCTACACAGCCTTGGCATATAAAATGAGTTGGTCTTTGCCCGTCGCTCCGGTAGCACGCAATGATTTGTTCGTCGTGAAATCCAAGTCGCGTGAATTCCCATATAAAACAAGTGGCGAAAATCGCGTCTCCTGCCACGCAGAGCGCAGAGGAAGCCGCAATAATAAATAAATGCAGCGTGTCTTTTCTCGGCCTTAGTTAGAGGGAGCGTTAGAAATCGTCGCAGCGGGAGAGGTATTATGGTCCTAGAAAGCGAGAAATACCGGCTCTCGAGGCGGAACCACCCGCGAGATGAGAGAAGAAAAAAAAAACCAACACAGAGCCGCATTAGTAATGGCGCATTTTCACTCGCCAGCGCAGTTGTCGTCGTGAGAAAATTGAAAAAGACAAATCTAATATAATAACGTACACAAATAAAGTATTACGATTTACTCGTGCGCTATTCCATTCTTCTCTTATCTTTCTAATAAAGCTGGCATTCGTTGCGTTATGCGCGAATACTGGCAGTCTTCAGTAGTCGGATGGATAGAGCGAGTATGTCGAGATCGAATGATCGAACTTCAATTGCACTTGTACGATACATACTTTATTTTATGTCCATCTATCGCGTTAAATCATTATCACGGTAGCAATGTTTTATCACGAAACTGTTATACTCGGTAATTAAGCAAGATTGAATTTTTTTGACTAAAGATGGCGATATAAAGTCGATCTAAACTTACATTTTTCACGATCGCTTATTTAGGAATGAAAGGTATTAAACCCATTTTCAGCCCATTAGTGTTCAACTAATTTAAATAACGAACAAATTGAAATATTTAGAAAAATGGTCATTGCAAATGAAGTTCTTGGGACACCGAATATTATATAGGAATATTTCTATGAAAACCACAAGAAATGTAAATTCTATTTTATGGTTTTCTTAGAAATGAATATCATTGTTATTGAAATAATGAAGCAGAAACGAAATGACTTTCAGGTATAAAACACCAACCACAAAAACAGCTCAATAATTTATCTCCATAATATAAATCGAAATATAGAAGTTATGGAGGAATTTTTTTCTGTGATTTTCAGGACATATCAATTACAATTAACTTTTTTTTTCACGCCTGGCCATTTGAGTATCTTAATATGCATATGTAGTTTAAGATATAGTTCTAAAATAACATCGCATACAGTAAACGTTTTCTATCAAAACCGAGGTGTTATTTGTTGTACGCGCCCGACTTTTTTCGAGTCCTCTATTTTTTTAATAAATTTACGTCTTACTGGCGCGTATATTGACGTATCCCGGTCCATTCACATTGTTCTATGAAATACTCAGAACAGCTTAATGGGACATACAATAGCATAAAGAAAGGAAAATAGCTGTAGGCTATTTTTCGTGAATAACGAGATGTTTTCAACACACCGAGTGGAAGGTATGAATGTGTGCCGCACGCTCGTCGAAAAATATTGACGATCAGTTTGGCGCTTTCCACAGGTTGTTTTTGAAAAATAGCGTAGATGATACGCTCGGCAAAGAGATCGACGTCTCGTGCCTTTCAGCCTCGCTTCGCTCGGACGTAAACTTCACACGAGGCAACAATCTACATTGCCGCACTAGTTAGCTAATGTACCACAATAAACGATTTTCACCATACGTCAAAATCGAGTTTCAATAGCTTCTTACATTTTAAGAAACTCGCCGATCACAGTGGGCTTCGATATTATAAAATACATTGTGAAGAAGATACAGACTAGCTGGTTGATAATTCGGCATAATGCATGTGAAGGAACAACTTTTCTAATATTTTTATAATGAATTTAAAAAACTTTATTCTTTGCAAATCAATTTTGATTGCTTAAACTATCGTAAAGCCATAAAACATCGTTAAGTTATTGACAACTATTTAGAGATTCTCGAGTGAGTAACTGTCAGTGATCACAAATATTTCGAAGAAATGTAAAAAGAAATGTAAACTATAGGAAGAAGACCATTCATAATAAAATCCATTCAGCCGTTCTACAAATATACGAGGTATTAAAAAAACATAAGCCGAATACAAAAACATCTTTTTCAAAGCGGATGAAAATGTAATGAACAATCAGATATTCAACTTTCCTCATAGTTTTGCGTGATGTAATTCGATAACGTTGTTCATCGAGAATAATGAATGCACGCTTTTTCTGCAATACGCAAAGATTTACCGTCAATCATTTGCGCTATAAATGGTCTTCTAATTAGCTTCAACATTGATCTGACATTGTAAACTATGAGGTATTTTAAAGCATTTCAAGCAAGCATGTAACATTGTTTGCAATTATTTAACAAGTCTGATTGTTATTCGCGTTTACACTGGTCATTTACCTAATAAACACGCGCACTCCCGGAAAATCGTTGGTGCGCGGTGAAACCACGTTGAGAACAACGATGAGCGCAAACACCTGCAGTCGATCATTCTTTTTCTCTTTATTTCAGCGAGTTTTTTTTTTTCGTGGATTTATGCAAACACGCGATTTCGAGAAGACGCAACGCTTACGTCGTCTTTCTTTTTTCTCTTCGTTATCGAGAATAATCGTCATCCGCGAGCGACAAGAAGCGATAAGATTTATTGCTATCTTTTTTACGGCAAATGCATGTCAATTGTCGAGAGGCGTCGGGAGCGAAGGAAACACGAAACAATGATGTATCACGCGTATAAGCGCAATGTTTAGTAATCGAATATGATTAAATAATTGGCGTAGTATTTAACAGAAATATGAAAGCCTTCCGATCCTGCAATATCGCCGTTTTAGCGTCAATCGAGTCAATAATGTTTTGTAATTTGTTGCGTTTGGAAAGTCGACGAAAATTTTTATTTGAGTACACGGTGTGATAAAGCACACCGTTATAACAACATTTACTTATGAGCTGTCTGGTTTTCTCGGAAATCAGATTTTGACTTCGACGCAAGCTTTAAATGATTTACGATGGAAGTACCGGATAGTGACGATGCGACCATACAAAAGAAAAATTATTCCCCATTAGAAAGCTATATTTAGTAGCTGACAAATTTCATTTAGCTAGGTGTCGCAATGAGTTTTGTGAGAATATTCCATGATGACCTCTGCTAAGCTTTATACAATCTTATTACATATGTTTTATTTTATTTCACGCATTAGAATTTGACTACACAGAATTTATCGCTTTTCCAGTAACATTGTAAGCTTAATATTTATCTGATAATCCATGCAGTAAATTCGATCATATATCAAGGCGTTTCTTTCATGCGATTTCAAATGTTTTCCTGACCTGAGATATGCAAGATTGCAAATATATTTCGGCAATATACAATAAACTTTTTCCATAATTTTTATAATTCTAACATTGTAAATCAGTTTATTTTTTATATAGAAAGTGCCATCATTTTGATGTAGATCCCTTGCCATTAAGAAATAGCTTACCAACAAGAAAGTTGGTAAATGAAGTCTCCTTTTGAGCGGCACATGGCTACATTATGCGGTACACACACATGCGTGCTGTGCAGAAATCTTCTTTTTCGGCAGAAGCCTTTTAAATTGAATTAGCTTCCATTTAAAACTACTTTTTCAATTACACATTTACAAAAATTATTCTGCGTTGATATTTAATTTCCATTTGAAGTACTTTAATCAGCAATCAAAGAATTTTTCTTTGCAGTGCAAACCTTAAGTTGATAACATGCATTGTTTCAAAGAGTAGTCTATCTGCAATAGTAGCTTTGTTCAATTAATAATTTAATAAATGCTAATCCTTTGCAGGATCACACGTAACATAGTTATGAATCTTTCACGAATCTTTAAATGATATTCTTAAAATATTATTCTAAAAAACGGTATTGCATCAGGATATGCATAAACTAATTTGCAGATAAAGTTATAGATGTCATCGCTATGCTTACCTGTTGATCATACTAACATAGATAGGAGTGCATTTAGAATTAAAAAACTTGAGTGTTTCGTTTTAAACAAAGTAGGCCACATTGATAAAGAGTTAAAAATAAGTTTGAGTTTATCAAAACCTTGGTATTTAGAGGTATAAAAACATGCATAAATTCGTTCTTCAAACAAAACAATTCGTAAACGATTCCATAAAAAATTACTTTCCATCTGCTATTTTTGTTCTTTCCTTGTCATTCATTTTAATTTTCAATAAACCACCGGAAAGATACCTCTACATAAAGGATAGTAAAACCAAAAAATAATTTAAGGCTCTCCATAAACATGTAAGCATTACTTATTTACAAGCCGCCTGATGATTTGCAAAGAAAATCGGTGTGCACACTACTTTGCCGCGCATGACTGTAAAGCCCCGTAATCATCATGCAGCGCGTATGTGCTGGCAGGCAGCGCAGAAGCAGCCGTCAAAATAAAACTCTCTCGACGTCAAAAAACTCCATATAATCCTCTCTCTCTCTCGTTCTCGTAGACTATGCACCTTTCCGTGGCTGGTACATACACATACATAGTTGACGCATTCTCCCCACTCTATAAAATATCCACACCTATAACACACCTCGAGATACAGACTGGAGAGCGGCCCCGGCGATCCCCACTACTTGGACCCCTTGCGTTTCTCTTGCTCACGTTGGCGGCGGCGGCGCGGCCCTCGGAATTCTCGCTTAGCCAGTTTCAAACGAGTCTCCCGACGAGCGCCGCGCGTACGGAGCGCAGTCGTTAATTCACGTATCTTTTCCCCTTCCTCGGTTATATATATATTTTTTAATTCCTTGCGGCCCGTACGTACAAAACGCTCGTATCAAGTGCAAATACACAGTGAGTTTTTGCGCGTGGGTGTCATCGAAGATTCTTGTATCGAGACCTTGCAGTACAGGTGAGTTTGTGTATGTGCGAAAACACAAAGGGAACGCGTGTGCGCAGGCGCACTGATCGCCGATTCCCGAGACCGTTAATCGCCTTCGCCTCCTCGCGTGTAGGACGAGTGTGCGGTGCGCATGTGTATGTGTGAGAGAAGGAAGATGGCCGTGCATGCACGCCTGTATGTACACTCCCAAATTTTTTTTTTCGGTGTATTTTAACATTCGTTTGCATAACGCGCCCGACATGTGTATGAAGCATGCATGCGCAACGAAACAAAAAAAGGATGTCATGGCATCACGCACTCTGTAGAAATTTGTCTGATTGTCTACTTGTGCATACAGTAGGTACAGACATACGAAGTGAGAGAATCTGGGACGAGAGAGGCGAAAGCGCAACGCAGGAAAGTTTAATTGAAAGAAAGGTTTTTTATGCGTATACGTGCGGATGGCGCGTTACCGTTCTTTTTTTTATTTTCGTTCTTGTACTCAACTTTGTGTTCTTTTTCACAATCGCTCGAAGAACACACAGTGTCGGCGAATTTTATCGAGGTGCATTGTAATGCCAAAGACAGATAAGCGACGAAGAGGACGAGCTGCATTTTTTATGCGTGTACTGAATTCTCCAGGTGTGCGTATGCGTGTACACGAGGGATTATATTTCCTGAGTCACGCGCGGCGTACGATGATTTATTAATCAAATTCGCGTGCAACGCTTATCGCGTTCTCTCTTTCTCTCTCTCACACTCTCAAAAAACAAAACGAAGTAACGTAGAAAGATGACTAATTAATCATTCGCTCGAGTAGAGATCTAACAAGATCGTTAATTCAAAATGCATTGCACCTGCATACATCGTGTTATTTTCGATGACATACAGCACCGCTCTCCAAGGTAATTTATGAAGATGAATGCCTCAGCGTCGTGAAAACGCGCAAGTTATGTGCTCGAAAAAACGAATTACGTACACGGCGCGACGCTGATAATCAGTTTGCCGGATCGCGACGCCGAGATAGGCACGATACGTGATTTTTCTCGCGTGCGGCGTCGGCGGCGCGACGATCGTCATGATTTCGAGCCGGAAACGTTCGAGTACATCTCGCGGTTGTTGATTTATCGCGCGTGCAATCTTCGGCGCTAAATAAACAGCAAATCGCATGTAGCTTCTTCTCCAATATTAGCGGAGGCAAAAGTGACATGGGGGAATAACCCAAGTTTTCTCTCGCAGAAAAGATAAAAACGATAAGGCGCGCGGGCCGCGATAGGCCGACGCGCAAGAGTCATTGAACGAATATTTTTCATCGGCGTGATGCGCGGCGCTAAATATACGCTTGTTAAACCTGCATGCCGCCGTTCAACAAATCACGACGGCATCATTGTTAAGTAACAGACGCGCGCAACGGAGCTAAAGTTGCGCCAGTAGGAATCGGCGCTCGAACGTTCGAGGAATGGTGATTATGATGATGATGATGATGAACGATCGCCGCGATTAGAATGTACGCATCGCGCGCGCATCGATAAAATGTTTACAGCTTCCCTTGCTTCTTCGGACGGTACGTGTGCGCGGACGTCGTCTATAAATATCATATTTTACAAGACGAACAATCGACCGGCCGTGAACGATAGACCAGCTGGACCGGCGTAAATAAATAATCGAATGGCGGGCAGCTCGTTTCACAGCCTGGCTGCCCCCACCCCCTCCTCCCGCCGCGGCGAGAATTTTCAATGCGCGAAGCGCTCGCGCGTACCCATCGACAGTTTGGTCGATTTAGTTTGGATTTCGACGAGACGGAACTTTTTATTCGTCGCAGCGCGCTGAAAGGTACGCGCACAATGCTTTTTTGGCGTTGAAATTGACGGACTCGATGAGTCAGGCGCGCGAGCCTCGCGAAAAAGGAAGGCAAGAGAACCAGAACCGGTCGATGGGCGAGTGTGCCCGTCGACAAATTGCAGATCGATAAGCGGAGGGGTATTGCAATGAATAATTCCTCGTGCATTATATGCCTCGCTGTGTATACATACGTATATAACACTCGGCGGGGGGGGGGGGCAGATAGAAAGTCGAGATCTTTGGCGGGCGGGAGAAAAGCGAAGGAAAGAAAAGAAAAGAAAACATGGAAAGGACGGCGTGTGTACCGTTTGAACGAGGCTCGCGGTGGGTGTTGTTGCACGCGGCTCTGGCTAATATCTGAATAAGCAATATCGGGGTCGAGTGGTTGCGTTCCCTCGGAGTATCGCCATTGTCTTGTCGCAGCCTGCTCGCGCGACAGAAGGCGCTTCTAATGGCGCACGCCCATCTCCGAATCGCGCGTCATCGTCGATTAGCGCGCGACGGCCCACGTCGTCCAAAATTGCGCTGCCTCGCGCGCGCGCGCGCGAGCGTGATTGCACGGCGCGCGACGAGTCGGGGATTGCCATTTCGGTGGAAGCGCGTCGTCCGTCGCGCATTTTCGCCGGCTCATCCTGGAAAAATGAGGAGGCGCGCGGCCGGCCGGGCGAACGTTTTTTCCGACGGCTGTCGGGAGCCGCGGGCAAAAGGGCTTTCGGACGATTCGTGGAAATCGGTGCGCTTTTATGGGGGAGCCCGAGTTATGCGGGCTCCGCGGATGGCGAGGCCAGAATTCCGAGGGCTTCCGGTCGCAAGCCTTTCATGCCAGGCCTTTGTACGCGCCAATTTCTTTCATCGAGACGCGACGTTACTCTGCGATCTGCAGCGACCGCGAACGCGCCGAATCGCGGTGTACCGTCGCGCGACGCAGCGTCGAAGTCGCTTCGCGACAGCCGAGGTTAGCCCGGCTGATGCCACCCAAAATGCGTCTGGAAGGGGCACAAATTCCAGCGATGACTCGAGTGAAAAAGAAGCAGGGAGGACGCGTGCAAAATCCAAGCTGTGTGTGTATAGGAACGCCGGCGTTGACTCGAGTTGTGACAAGTCGGCAATTTACTAGCCCGAAGAAAGAAGAGTCGAAAAACACGAAAAGGAGACCTCCCGTCGCGACGGGCTTTCCCTTTGAATTCGTCGTCCTTCGAGTTTCACGCCACGGGCCTTGAGGGAAGAGGCATTGTGAAAAGTCATTACGTTTGTTTGGGAGCTCGTTAATCCAGCTGCGTGACGTTCCCTGAAAATGGCGCGGCCGCGGTGGCGTGTCACAGCGACGAGAGCGCGCGCGACCGCGTGATGGACTCTCGCGGCGGCAATTACATTATGCAACGTGACGGTCGCTTGCGCCAGTCGGGTCCGCAAGCTGCTCTCCAACGGCAATAATCGAGGCGCTGTCGAGCGAACTCGCGGCGGCGGCGGCGGCGGCGACAGCAGCGGCGGCTTCTCTCCGCGCGCGAGGAAACGCATTGTGCGTTAGGTGCGGTTTGTCTGGTGGCACGGTGGACCGAGACAGAAACCGACCGCAAATTGACAGGATGCGCGGTCTCGCTCGCTCTCACTTTTTGTCGCAGCGGCGAACAGACGTTAAACACTCGTGTCGAGTATTCGGGGGCGACGCGCGCACGCGAACGTCAGTTTTTCGGAGGAGGACCCGTCGCTCTCTCTCTCTCTCTCTCTCTCTCTTTCTCTCGGGAACTTCTCTCGGTCGGCGAGGAGTACTTGGGTCTCGTTAAATTACATTGTGAGTCATCCCTCGTCTCGCCTCGCATTGCATCGACTGGGCGAGCTCGTAACCCAGGTGGGGGGAGGGGCAATCTTTCGCCATACTAATTGACCAATTAACTCAACTAAAAAGCTATGCTCGCGAGGCAATACGCCCCATCGCGCGCTCGTTATTATCGGATCATTCGCCGAAAAGCTAATATGGACAGGCCAGATGCTCGACGATGAGGTCGCGAAAAAGAAGCCTCTCTCCTTTGTGCTTTCCTTCGCACCGGAGGAAGCGATCGTTAAATGATTATCTCGAGTGCAGTGGCTTCTCTCCTTTCCGACGCCTCATCCATCGTCGCGTCTGGAGGTTCATTCATCTCTCTCGCGGATATGCGTTCCACTCGAATAATAGATGCTTTTTTAACGGTCTATCGCTGACACGAGCTTCCCGAACGAGAGCGAAGCTGCCCTGCGCCTTTACCTTTCCATTCCCTCTTCCTAGCTTTCCTCGCGAACGTCGTTTCGATGCGTGCGAGCACCTCTGCCCGCGTCCGTCGAAGGTATCGAGTCCAAACCTCTCTCGCGACGCCCGATACTCGCGCAATTACGGGAAACGAAACGATTCGCGCGCCAGATGCCAAATTGCACGCGCGCGCGCGTGCATCCTCTCGTCCCGAACGTAAAGCAGCAGCTAGCCGCCGCCGCGGTAACGAGCGACTTCCTCTCTCTTTCTCTCTCTCTCTCTCTCTCTCTCTCTCTCTCTCTCTCTCTCTCTCTCTCTCTCTCTCTCTGTTGCTCGCTCGGGAAAGCAAAAGCTTTAACGTCGATCACGGTTTCCTCAGCGCGACACCCGATATTATCGCTCGCGGCGCGAAATCGATTTTCAATATGACTTGTATATACGTGCAGGCAGAAGCTGCACGGACTCGTTTTACTCGCGATCGTCTATCGGGTTTCCCCTCGCGCTGCCGTTGACTGCTGCTGCTGCTGCTGCTGCTGCTGCTGCTGCAGCACGCGAGAGCAAACGCCAGATGGCTGACGAACCAAAAGAGAGAGGGAGAGAGAGACGAGCGTGAGAGAGAGAAAGGCCTTTTTTCGGGACGTTCGACGATTCCGAAGCTTCCGACTATCTACTGCGATGTTGCCTTTGGGGTTTTGGGATGCTTCGATTCTCACTTTGACTTTTTCTTCCGATGCGATACGACGCACGTTCTTTGCTGACGTTCCTCTGAGAATGGTTATTACCGCGCTAGTTGAATTCTTGAATTTAGGGATACACGCGCGCGACCGGTTATTTTTTTCTCTACTGCGTAAAGCCAGTGCACCACCTCGCATTCGTTCCCACTTGCCTTTTATCGGAAAAAAACTGGACACGCGGGAGCCGCGTCGCGAGTCGACGTCGCTCAGCGCGGAATCGATGTCACAGC